TATCACCGTTGCACTCACGTCTCGCACAAGAGCCGCATGTTTAGAAAGCTATGTAAAATTAATGTTCAACTTTTAAAAAACATGTCTCAAGACTTATGGCAGTTTTCCCTATCCCACTGCATCTCAAGTTTTTAAATGAAGAAAGTACTCTTTGTGATTGGTTTTCGGTCCTTTGTATTAAACTATACATACATGCATGATCCTGTTTTGTTTCTAATTGTTTAAGCAACTTTATTAATTATATCAAGTTTATAAACGTTATTTTAAACATTATGCACTTTTTTTTTTCAAAGATAGTCGTGTTATTTTATTATGCTTTGAAGAAACGTGCCTAATATTTTGCCCGATGCGCCCTCTTGTGGCCTCCGGAGAGAAGCCAAAAGCTAAAAATAGGAAAAAACAGCAACATTCAAATTCTTGCTAATACAGATGAGTCATTAAATGGCAGATCTCAAAATTTTATATTGTTTAAATGTCTAATATATATTAGGTCTGGCACTTGTTAAGAACACGACTTGATGTGTTATGATTCTACCACAATTCTTCATCAGGTGCAAGTATAAGAGAAAAAAGTAAGAAGACTAGTCTGTTTACTGGCCCCAAATTAGCTCTCTATGTCTGGTTGCCATGGAGATGATTAGTAAAAGTCATGCTTGAAGTTAAAGGGTCAGAAGAGTGCAAAACTTTAACATTCAAGACTGAGGAAGTGATGTGCATGTACGCATATGAATGCGTGTTTGATTGTTGCGTGAAAGTGGAAAAAGTATTACCACTTTTTAATGGATGAGAGCACTTCACTAAGCCAGATGGTGAAGAGGGCCCTTTAAAGGACACTCACATTAGCCCTTATAAACACCCCTGCATGGTTTAAATTGGCCTCTTGAAACCTTTCGAAACCAAACCTCTTCAGTCTCTGTGGGGGCCGTAAAATCAAGGTTCATATTCCAGCACATATTCTTCTTTTTAACAAATCTGACCGCAACGTAATAAATCAATTAATTAACTGGTAACAATCAACAAATTGTTAAAAGTACATTAACACACACAAGTTTTACTAATTGACTGAAATCTAAACTGGAATTTGAAGTGATTAAGAACAAAAATGCTACCAGAAAGACCAAATAACTTGTCAATATTTGCCCATTTTGAGATTATGGATTGCTAATCAACAGGGGCTGGATTCACTAGCTGTGCATAAGTTACCTAGAGTAGTTGAGATGTAAAGGAGCACCAACTTGCAAACTATTAAATATTTTTGCATTGCACCATCAAACGTAGTAGAAAAGTATTTACAGAAAGCCTCTGACTAAAGGTAACAGTTGAATAGAAAAGCGGATTCAATGAAATGCATCAATAAGCTCAAGTTTTACCTAAAAAAAACAATGCTTAAAATTTGATGATATTTGGAAAAGTTACTTTTAGTAGCTCTTCAACACAAATCTAAACAACACACATCTGTCTGCATAAAATAAAATCAATCAAAATAAATGTCATTTCTCTTGTCTTTTGTATCAGTATTAATTTATTGCTCCTTATTTATTTTTACAGTTTTTAAATGTTACTCACATATAAAAATACAATTGTGTCATTTCATGATTAAGTATACACTGTAAAACCCAAAGAGTTAAGAAACCAATTGCTTTACACCAAGAGAATACTTCTTAATACTAATCTTTAAGTCCACTTAAATACTTTGTGTAGCTGAAACTTAACTAAATTGCATAAAACCATTAAAATGCTCACGAGATATCATGGTAACACTTTACTTAAAGCCTTTATGTAAAATGCATTATACAGGGTTTTAAAAGGGTATAATGCATTATTATTAGTGCTGTCACATGATTAATCATGATTAATCGCATCCAAAATAAAAGTTTTTGTTTACATAATATATGTGACCCTGGACCACAAAACCAGTCTTAAGTCGCTGGGGTATATTTGTAGCAATAGCCAAAAATACACTGTATGGGTCAAAATTATTGATTTTTCTTTTATGCCCAAAAATCATTAGGATATTAAGTAAAGATCATGTTCCATGAAGATATTTTGTAAATTTCCCACTGTAAAAATATTAAAACGTATTTTTTGATTAGTAATCAAATTAGTAAAGAACTTCATTTGGACAACTTTAAAGGCGATTTTATCAATATTTAGATTTTTTTGCACCCTCAGATTCCAGATTTTCAAATATTCTCCTATCCTAACAAACCATACATCAATGGAAAGCTTTCAGCTGATGCATAAATCTCAATTTCGAAAAATTGACCCCTATGACTGATTTTGTGGTCCAGGGTCACATATGTATGTGTGCTTTGTATATTTATTATGTATATATATAAATACACACACATGCATGTATATATTTCAGAAGAATATGTTATGTATATTAAATATATTTTTAAAAATATAAATTATATGAATATAAGGTATATTTGTAGCAATAGCCAAAAATACACTGTATGGGTCAAAATTATTGATTTTTCTTTTATGCCCAAAAATCATTAGGATATTAAGTAAAGATCATGTTCCATGAAGATATTTTGTAAATTTCCCACTGTAAAAATATTAAAACGTATTTTCTGATTAGTAATCAAATTAGTACTGTATGTGTGTGTATTTATATATACATAATATATATATACAGAACACACATATATTATGCAAACACAATTTTTTATATTGGATGCGATTTATCACGATTAATCGTTTGACAGCACTAATTATATACTAATTATTATTCATAATGTGCATTCTAATACATTATATCTTGTCGTAAATAATTATAACTAAATTTAAAATGCATGTTATCATTGTTAAAGTGTAACAAGGTGTGTATATATATATATATATACATTGTGTTATAAGGTATTAAATGTGTTTACAATTATTAGATTGTACAATGCATTATAAGGAGTATTAAAAGGTATAATTAATGCATTAAACTCCTTTTATAATGCGTGATAGATAAAGGCTTTAAGTAAAGTGTTACTGATATTATCAACGTCCATTTAAAACAAACATACAAAAATATATATATTGAATAATAAAAATTAAATATAAAGATATATTGGTCAACCTCTAGTGGAATTGTCCAAAAACAGCCTAATGGATGGATCTGTCCAGCCTGACTGACAGCATTTGAAGATGCTGATGTGACATTAATAGGATGGTTCAAAGCTGTGTAGAGCATCATGTGACAGGGAAAGTCAATGCAATTCCACAGGTAACAAGGGAAATGCTACAGCACTGACCTCTCTGCGCCGTGACGCCCAGCAGCTCTGTTTTATCTTCCATACGACTGCTGCCACCAGAAGCAAGGACAGGAAACAGCTACACACACACACAAGACAAAACAGGAAATAGAAAGGAAGAGGACAATCATTAACGTTTTTGGAAGTTCTATGTTTATGGAAAACAATGAAAGAATCACATTCCACTTCCACAGTCTTGTCAAGATCACATCTCAAGCACACACACGGGGCTGTTCATGTTTAATGGATTAGAGATAGTTTCACAGCCGCAGGTGTGCTAAAGATCAGGAGTGTTGGTATCCTCATGGTAACGGGGCCAAAGCTCATGAATGCGCCTCTCGTGTATAGGAGAACTGGGCTGCATGTGACAGAATCATAAATGTGTAGGTGCATGTTTATACCTTATAAGTGCAGATGTGTGCAGAGCTGAAAAACATTCGCTCTGGGTTTTGGGAATAGCTCACCCACACACACGCGCACACACACCAAGGCCATGAAGAGTTGGTGCAATTTATCATGGCTGAGCTGACATAACTAATGATGAGGAACCATGGCCGACCACAGCTACAGTTGGTATGTTACGTGTGTGTACATGCAGTGTATGAATCATATGCGTCTTCATACATGATGCATGACCACATCTGAGAGATTATCATATTTTAATCACACTTTTGCTGTTAGTGAACCAGTAAGAAGTGTAACAAGCGGCATGGCAGAATGTGTGAGAATGTGTGTATGTGACAGAAACATGGGGTGAATTTGCTATATACGGTCTACGCCACCTGCTTCCTGAATCAATAACATATTACAGCAAGTCCTCCAGAGGTGAATTAGAGCTTAGAGCCATAATCACACCCCGAACACACTAGAGCCCAATGTGTTCCATTAAAAAATTTACAAAATTTAGATTCAAATGGGTATGTGAGAATATCTGTGGCGTTAGAAGTTCAAAGATCATCAAAGACTTGAGTAATTCATATGCTTGCTTATAACACAAGCAAAGTGCCTTACCTGAAGAACGTGACAAAGAACTGAACCAAATCCATGAAGTTACTGTGTTGAGAGAAAGCGATCTGAGGAGAAGAGAAATGGGTGTTAAATAGGGAGGAAAAACATTCATTTACACGCTTCTGTGTACATGCGTTTTTTGTTGTCTAAATAGGACATGAGAGCAAATGTTTAGTTTCTGACTGTACCAATACTGCCCCCTGCTGCTATACGTCTCTCTCTCTCTCTTTCTCTCCCCACACATGATCAAGAGAAAAGAGCATCTCTACAGTTTCAGACTCTCCATTCTAATTCAAATATGTAATCATATTATTTTGGCACGACTATGTTATTATGACGGACCTCCAATAACAACGAGAGAGTAAAGGTTGACAAAGAGCAATGTCTTTCCACACTAGTATTAACCCTGAGCTAGTGTATTTATTAAGACCAGGTAAAGCACTTTTAAGCAATGTTTCAAACCTATAATTTTGAAAAGAGCAGCACTTTTAATTCTGGGTTACTCATGCCTGTTCCACAAAAGGATTGATATTTTATGCTAAAGTCCTACTGCAGTACCAAAGGTATAGAGCAGGGGAATTTGGAATTTTTATTTATTTATTATTATGTATTATTATTATTATGTTTATCTATGGCTTCAGAAGTTCAAAGTAATTCATGTGGTTACTGTTAAATAAATAATACCATTTAAATTCTATAAACATCATAAAATTGAAATACATATTTTTACAATTATTTAAATATATTTGACTAAATATTTGTTTTATTTAAAATATTATTTTTTTAAGTAATCCAATTAATTGGTTATTTAGTATTTTCTATTTATTTTTTTTCTTCTGTTTTTCTCTATACTTTTTCTATGGACTCCCTAGCACTCCCTTACGGCCCCCTTTCAGTTTGAAAACCCCAGTATAGAGTGTAAAACACTGCGGATGTGGAGTTATTTAACAACAGGCAATATCATTGCTTACTTCATTAGATATTAATACAACACTTGTACAACTTTCACACATTGTGTTTAGTGTCTAATGGAGGAAAAAAAGAATTGAAAAGTGATGGCAAATGCTCCTCTGCATTTTCATTCAGTTTTTTTCTTCCTAGTATTTTTCAGAATATATAAGGCAACCAGAGAAGATTTACATGTCGACGTTTACCCAGATGGTCAAGCTGTTATTAAAACTGGTCACACGCTCACTACGAGCTGTACTTGTCAAATCAGTGTTATTA